GTTTGAAGAATTTCTATCTATCTCAAATATATCTCTGTATCTTGAAAAACCTAACTAACTTAACTCTAAGCTTTGACTATCATAGCTATCTATCTATAATCTGTACTAATTTATACATTGCATTTCTAAATGAGCTTTATAAACAAAATACCTAAACAACAGGAGAAATATACATATCACAAAATTCACCTTAAATTGTATCAGTAAATGAAAATCCATTCCAAAACAAAGTAATCAATAAATGAAAATCCATTCCAAAACAAAGTATTTATATCTATACCATAATCCCCTTTTTACCTTTAAAAATATTGGTTGTGATCATTAACCATTTATAACCAACCCCATTTAAATGAAAACAAACATTTATAAACACTATTTGGGAATTTGGGCGTCGTTCTTTCCAAAATGCTTCCTGCTGGTAAGGGGCGCTCTCATGGGGATCCTAAGAAGACTCAGAAATCCTGGCTGTAGTCTGCAAGGCTGTCTTGTTTTGAATGTTGGATCACCTGCAATTCTGTTTCAGGGGGTCTGGCTTGATCAAACCACATTAGTCTGGAAGGAATCCACAGCTTTTTATTTTCTGTGGAAACAAAAATAGAAATCCTTTTACCCCAGTAACTTGTCCTTAGACTTAAATTTTGAAGTCAAAGCATTTTTAAAATTTATAAATTGAATTAATACAGCAGCATGCGTTTTAACAGTTATTTCCTCATCAGTCAAATAATACAAAGACAGTATAATGCCGTACAGTATACAGATTCTCTCCATCTTTATGTGGCCTTTTTATAACTCTGTTTCTTTTATTTGTATTTTTTTTTATTGTTTGAGACAGGGTTTCTCTGTGTAACTTTTATCTGTCCTGGAATTAACTCTATATACCAGGCTTACTTTGAAATCACAGAGATCTGATTGCCTCTGCCTCCCCAGTGCTGGAATTAAAGGTGTGTGCCACCACACCCAGCTCCTGTCTTTTTAAAACCATTTTATTTCTTTTCCTTTCCAAGCCTACACCTTTAGTGGTTTTTCTTAATATGAATCCGTCTTTACTGTAAATCTTTATCTTTATTTCTGGCCACGAGTCTTTATCTGTTAAACAACAACATTGCTAAAATGAAAGTCATAGCTGTTTCTGTCGCAGTTTACCAAAGATGGCTGCGGCTATTTTGCCGCCAGCACTGAGAACTGTTCTCACTGCCTTGGTCTGCATGCTGCCGGCTTGGAGACGTGGTCATTGCCATTGCAAGCTCTTGTACACACCAATAAATTGTTAGCAGTGCTTCTTAAAAGCTGTGAGGCTTTTTGCCACTTATGCTGAGTCAGGAATCTTCCCTTAAAGGAGCCGTGCTAATATCTGCTTGTCTCTAGCAAATCAGAGTACAACCGAGAAAAATGCTGCTACCAAAAAACCTTGCTTTTCTCTGTTCTTTTGTTTGTAAAACCCTTTTTTAAGCTATTGTTAAATTTTAAGTGGGAGTTCTTATTAGCCACATGGGCACCATATGTAAGGAGTAAGGTTTTCCCTCCCGCCACTGGTCTTGACCCACCGATGTGCCAGCCACAAATAACACACTGAGACTCTGCATCAGATATAATGCTGTTGGCCAGGTACTAGTTTCCGATTGGCTAGCTCTGTCTTAAGTATTAACCCATTTCAGCTAATCTATATATTTCCATGGGGACTCCTCTTACCCTCAGAGAGCCGGCTGGTGTCCAGATCTCTCCACACTCTCCATCTTGACTCCTTCCTACTTCCTCTTTCCTCCTTGTCTTCTAGTCCCTCCTATCTTCCTTTCCTATTGGCCAACAGTACTTTATTCATTAACCAGTATGAGACACATATTTACAGAATGACATCTCCCATCATAACCCAATATTTTTCTTTCTTGCAAATAGGCAATAAGCCAGAAGCTTATTGATTCTGAGCATTCAGTGTTGCAAGGACAATTTATATTTTTTCTTTAAGTGGCCACTTTGCTAAAATCTGTTTTTGTACAGCATAGATTTCTATAACAGCTAATTTTTCTCTATGTTTATAGAGCTCTAGATTTCTACATAACTTTGGAAAGTCCATAACATTTTTTCTCTCTCTCTCTTTTTTTTTTTTTTTTTTTTTTTTTTGAGGCTTGATTAATCCTTGGCAATCTTGACTAGAATTATCAAAAGCTGTTTTTAATAGTTCATGAATTTGTTCCCCTTTTACTTGTCCAATAGCATCATTGAGTTTCCCATGAAACTAACATAAGGTCCAGAGGGACTTTGTATAATGTTTACATAACTAGATTAATCCTTGGAAATCTTGACTAGCATTATCAAAAGCTGTTTTTAATAGTTCATGAATTTGTTCCCCTTTTACTTGTTGTCCAATAGCATCATTGAGTTTCCCATGAAACTAACATAAGGTTCAGAGGGACTTTGTATAATTTTTACATAACTAGACCCAATTTCAGATACCATATCAATTTTCATCCAGCTGGTGATAGATGGCTACATCCCTAATATGTGGGAAAATTCAGGAGGCATATTGAGCAGCTGATAATCCATTGACACCCATCTTCCAGTCCTTATAAGCATTTCATATGTGATATTTGTAGGATTATTCTTCAGTCCTAACTATCAAACTTTTTAATGGACTTTATCAGCAAGCCACACCTGCCGCTTAAGTAATTAGATAGACCTAGGAAACATCTTAACAGTTACATAAGAATCATATGGAACCAATTGCATATTATTGTTGCAGTCAAAAAGATAACCATAACTTCATAGAACAGTGGATCCATAAAGCAAGAGCCTTCCTAAAATCTTTCATTGTATCCATGTCTAGCACCTGATAAATATTTTCATTTTGTTGAAATATCATTGGGAATTCTAAGCTCAGTTCAGGAGGCCAGCGAGAAATTGCTAAATGATATCCTTTTCCCTGCTGCCCTAGCTTGTCTATGTTGTAAAGTTAGGTTTTTGGAGGCTCTTAAATCCTCATCAAAAAGAGTGAATTCAAGTTTAGATAGATTGTCAGATTCCTCACACCGTGCTTCAGGATTGTCTTAGGCAATACAGGAAATATTCTTAAAGTCGATTCCAATAAGGGAGCTGAGGGAGCCATCACCCAGATTGTTGCCAAGGGTGCTGTTTTACTTTTGATTTTACCTACACTGGGAAAGTCTCTCTCTCTCTCTCTAACTCTCTCTCTCTTTCTCACTTTCTCTCTCTCTGGTCTCTTTTACCCATTTTACAGTGTGATCATCTAGTTTATAATAGTGCAAAAATAGCCATGTCTTCCTCATGATGAATAACCTTTTTATTCTCCTTATATATTCTATGAATAGTCCAAATCAATGCTCAAGAACCCAAATCAAATAGACATCTCCTCCACTAATTTATATGTGTTTTCAATGTTCATTCAGACTCTCCCATACTTCTTCATCTAAAGTGCCTTCTTCTGGAAATTAGGGATAATGATCACAAGCAATTTGTTTGTAGTCTAATAGTTGAGATTTTGATACTTGTCCTCCTTTCTTAAAAAATATGCACAATCTTTGATATACTGCAAAGTCTTCCCTTGTTTCTGCATCATTATTCTCAATCACATCGTTCTATGAGGCCAGGCCATGTTCTATCATGTAGCCAACTTCAGCTCTGTGTGAAGGAGTCAATGTAACAGCTAAAGAGAAAGTTGGTCTTGAGAGAATGCAGCCAATAAACGAGGCAGAATAAAGTCTTATGTGATAGACAACTTTATCAAAGAATCAAACAGTGTATACTCTGAGGCTTAAGAAAGGTCATATGAGTAAAGATCACATGAACTGAAGCCATATACAATCACAAGGACAAGCCACATGTGACAAAACACAGAAACAAATGTGTTTTTCTATAGAGGCTCTCTGAGCTAGGTTTTTATTGCTGAGAAAAGAGATCATGACCATGACAACTCTTCTGAAGAAAACAATTAATTGTGGTGGATCTCTTACAGTTTCAGGAGGGTCAGTCCATTACCATCATGAAGGGGAGTATAGCTGCATGAAGGCAAATATGATGTTGGAGCCGGGAATGCTACATCTTGCAGGCAACAGGAAGTCTATTGAAAGGCACACACAGGGAAGCTTGAGCAAAAGAGACCTCAAAGCCCACACTCACAGTGACATACTTGCTCCAACATGGCCACAACTCCTAATAGTGCCACTTCCTTAGTAGGCTATTTTCTTTGCAACCACCACAGAGGCACACAAAGGACAGTTTAAACATTATCAGGGTAACAATAGCAAGCAGTAGTAGTTAAACTGAAGTGGTTAACACACTCCTCTCTGCTACACCTGGGAAGAGGATGAGAATACATTCCAAGAAAAATCTTGTGTTTTGAAGAAATTGAGGTCACAAGTCTCTTGTCCTGTTTTCTTAGAGTGTTCTCTCAAATACTCAGATTTCTCCTCATGTTATTCCAAACCTGGACCATGATGTAAATCTACACTATTCAATGTTACTCCTGAGGTGGGTCAAATGACTGACTCCACATTTCTATTGGCCACCATTATGGCATTGTTTCAGAAAACTCCAGACATAAGAGAATTGTGGATCAAAAATAATTGTCATGAATAAATAAAGAAAAAAAACTTGAAATTCATTAAAAATAACATGTGACAAGTGAATAAAAGTAAACTCTAAGCATTTAAAATATATATAATACTAAGGGCTGGAGAGATGGCTCAGCTGTTAAAGGCTAGGTTCACAACCAAAAATATAAAATATAATATTAAAATTAGACTATTACAACTATCAAGATATATTTATCAAAAATAAAAATTATTAGTAATGTGCCACACTTTTCTGTTCATTTCTATCCCCAAGCCCCCTCATACCCATGCTGTCTTTCAGATTCATAGCATCATTTTTCATTAATGTTGTTATTTACACATATGTGTATTTATGTACATTTAAATTCTCAATATAACCTGTTCAACCTGTATAATGTTAAACTGGAATCTAGCAATAAAGATTATCTTTAACAGGTTCTTTGGAGATTTGATGGCAAAACACCAGACACCTTAGGACCCAATACCAGAATCTACAAATGGCTTCCCCAGAATGACCTTCTAGGTAAGACTCTGGAAAATGAACCTATACTCCTTGACTTCAAAATCCTCTATATTACAGATAGTGGATGTATTATTTATTTAAGATAACAATTTCTGATACACACTTGGCCTTTTTAACTCCTAATTTTCACTTATCTACCATGTAGTACATGTGATCAACTGGAAATCAGTATTTCATAGTTTAAGTCTCAAGTCACAAGTAAATTTGCAAGATGTTTCTCTGTAAATTTAGTTTATTCTCATTCTGAGTTAGGAAACCATTTTACTGAAGTTATGAGTATAAGAATAGAAGGAGTACTTCTAATGGGGAAGGAAGGTAAACTGTAGTCTTGATGTAAGCTAAATTATTAAATCCAATTAATAAACAAAGAATCTTCATATAGAAAATATTTCTTTCAGTTCCTCACAGTGTACATTTCTAATTACATTACTAGAACTGCTAATAAATCTGAATTCATCTTATTCTAGGTCATCCGAAAACCAAAGCCTTTGTAACTCATGGTGGAGCTAATGGCATCTATGAGGCAATTCATTTTGGAATCCCTATGATTGGCATTCCATTGTTTGCAGAACAGCATGATAACATTGCCTACATGGTGGCCAAAGGAGCAGCTGTTGCATTAAATTTAAAAACATTGACAAGGTCAGATTTGCTCAACGCACTGGAGGCAGTCATAGATAATCCTTCGTGAGTATACCCTTTTTAAATGTGTATTCATTATTTATTTTTCATTCCTTATGCTTCTTACTGAAGGCCAAAGGAGCAAGAATTATCCTGAAGGGAAAAAAAAAGTGGTAGATACAGAGACAAATAAGGGCATGACTCAGTGTCATAGGTTTTTCTCTCTTTTTGTTATTGGCTTTATTATTTTATTTGCATGTGACACTTTATGTTTCTTTCTTATGTGAATCAGTCTCGTCCAAAACGTGCAACCCTTCTACTATACCCTCCAAACTGCATGGTCAACAGTCATATACCATCAGCTCTTGCCAATTTTTCTTTTCAAATCTTTTATTAAAGTAACTAATCAGAGTATTAAGGACAGTACCCAACAAGTGAAGTTAAATGAAATGTTATGAGTTGAACCAGATGTGTTACACCTAGAAGCTATAGGAAAACATACCCAACAAGTGAAGTTAAATGAAATGTTATGAGTTGAACCAGATGTGTTACACCTAGAAGCTATAGGAAAACATTAAAACAGAGAAACTTGGGTGTTAAAAAAGAGATATGTACCCTTTATGGAAGTTGTAACCTTCTGTATTGAAATAACAAAGATATTAACATAAAAGTAAGTGTATAGCTAAATGTTGAAACATGCCATCTGTTTTAGGATAAGTTCAAATACTGAAAACCCATTAGAGTGAAGCAAATGAATAAGTCCATCATTATTTGTGTTTGATATAAAAAAAAATCCATTTGGAAGCTCTTTCCTGAAAAAGATTATTTCTCTCCACCCTCAGCATTATTCAAGTGTCTATAATAATTTTATTTAGAGTTGAGACCAGAGTGAGATTGACCTCTTTCCATGTTACCATGACAGTTTCATCCTTATTCAGATCTTGTTTAGGGTCTTATGTTGTTGAGAATAACTATTGGTATCACCATTATTAAGACCTTGTTTAGATATACATATTGCCGGGACTTTGTGAATATAGCTTATCAAACATGCAGCTTCACAGCAGATGTCTTGGTTACATGACTTTTGAAATCTTTCAATCCTCACTTCTATGATGCACCATGAAAGCTAGTTTTTAAGTAAGTGACTTTCAAATCAGTTTCACCTCAAAGGTCTCTGGGCTGTTTCTGAATTCCATGCTCTTTCAGCAATACAAACTTACCTTCCAAATGTGGAGAATAAACTACATCAATGGACTTTACATTTCAGGAGTCTTTTTGACAGACCTGGACAACATCTTAAAAGAGGTTTTCTCATGTCTGGCATTGGGGTTTATGTTAGGTGATCTTTGTCTCTTAGATGGAGCATGATCAGTCCAGATGAAAAAGATCATTAACACCATATATGTATATTTATACATGGAACTGCAAGTGTTATGGGGGATTTGGATAAATTGTTAATAGTACAACTTTTGTGGCTTTTTCTGCCATTCTTATTGTTAGCTTATGGTTTTCTGTTCTTTGGTATTAATTTCCCTCTCCCTTCCCTAAGGATCCTCCCCCTCTTCCCATTTTCCCACCAGATAAGTTGTATGCTAAATTTTAAGTAAAAGTAATATGCATACTAAGAAATGGGCTAAATTATTTAATGAGAAGAAATACATGATTCTCTGTTTGCTTAGTAAGTTTAAGACAGTAAGTTACCGTTATTACAATTGCTACTTCTGCTACATCAAACTGACATTTGGGTTAGTGTCTAAGTTGCCCTTCTTTTTTTAAATACTCATCAATAATTATTTCAGTATTGGAATAGAATGCACCTATAATACTTCAGCGTGCAATATTTACCATTTTTACTTCTAAAGTTACAGTGACAGCAAAAAATGAATATCAACAATCATAACAAAAATTAGGCTTGAAAATGACCCAGTGGATAAGAAAGATAAGATCTACTCCATCAGAGGACAAGGATTCTGTTCCCAAAAATTATGCCAGGTGCTTATAACCAATTGCAACTTTAACTTCAATAATCAGCGTATCTCACAACACACAAACACACACACAAGCACGCGTGCATGCACACACACACACATATATACATATAATTTATTTATTTAAAAATAATAGGAAAAATATATTGTGGTTATACTTTATAATAACAATAATATAAGTAATGAAAATCCCAGTATCCAGTAAAAGTGAAGAAAGCTACCTTTCCTATCTGCTTTACTTAGTAGCTTATAACCAAGATGAAAAAGGCAAAAAAGCAATGGGAAGCAGCTATTAGAGCTAATTAATAAGAACCAGGACACTTTTGTAATTCTAACTACTAAACATTGATAAAGTTCAATAAAAATATCATCTCAAACTATGTCAGCTTTATATAGATATATACCATAATTGTGACTTGAGAGGGATTTGCCTTCTACTTATATATCCTGACACTAGTATACATTTTGAACACACAATGTATTAATAGTTGCTTATGGGTAACTGAAGTCTTATATTCTGAAATAAGATCTAATTTTGATATTTTGTACATAAGGTTTAGCTGTCTCCAAACTCTAAGACTATTTGATCTTCCAGTTTTTTTTTTTTTTGTTTGTTTTTTTTTAGATGTTTGTCCTTCCATGCTCAAGGACCTCACACATACCTCGAATATCTTTCTAGTCATGAACATAAAGCATAATTCATTTTCCTGCTATGTTTGTATCATTTTCTTTACTATCTACTTTACAGAATATTATGCATGTGAATTTTTCATCCATTATATAAGCTGATGTCCATTTTACTTATTTCAGCTATAAAGAGAATGCTAGGTGGTTATCAACCATTCACCATGACCAGCCCATGAAGCCTCTGGACAGAGCCACCTTCTGGATTGAATTTGTCATGCGCCACAAAGGAGCCAAGCACCTGAGGCCACTTGCATACAACCTCACCTGGTACCAGTACCACTCTCTGGATGTGATTGGATTCCTACTGGCCTGTGTGGCATCCATAGCTGTCCTTGCCATAAAATCCAGTTTATTTGTTTATCAAAAGTTTGTAAAGATGGGAAAGAAAATGAAGAATGAGTAGAGGTCACTGAGAAAGTACTACATGAACTAAATTTTGGAATCATTCTGATTAATGAACTGACTACTAAACATTCACTGATTACTTGATCAAGGCATATCTTCTTTGGACGGAGGAAATGGGAGGGGGAATAATGGAATTATATTATAATCTCAAAAATAAAAGATACAATAAAAAGAAAAAAGCTGAGCAAGCTGTTCCTCCACACAGATCCTCCACAGTGTGTGCATCAGTACTGCCTCCTGATTCTTTTTCCCCTGACCTGCTTTTCCTGGGTAATGCACAGAGAGCTGTGAGATGAAATAAACCCTCACCTTCATCAAATGAAAATGAAAATGTAAAAATCTCAAACAAAAGAGGACCCTGGCCCTGGGTCACAGCAAATGCCACTATGATGAACAGATATGTGATGGACAAAAGAGAGAGAGAGGAGTGGGAGCCATTTGTCCACTAAGAAGAGAGGTGGAACTCGGGACTGGAGATCTGCAGGTAGCAAGAAATTGCATGATGGGAGAGACCTACACTGCCATCTGAAGCTATAGTGATAACTGGACCTGGAGTGCTTCTGAGAGCCATGTCTGGGTCCATGGGTCTTCTGGAGCTAGGGTCTGTGTCAGTGTCCATGCAGATGAGGATCTCTCACTCTAGTCTACTTTTGAGGCCATATTTTCATCTCAGTACTGTGCTGAGCCAGTCAAACCCTTCACCAGCCACCACAGCATCAGCGATGACATGAACACAGAAAAGATGACCCTGCCCATTGCCTTGGCAGTGTGGGAGAACTGGCCCTAGCGGTTTGGCACAGGAGAGCTTGACCGGTCACCACTTGCTGGCCTCAGCACTAGGGAGAGCTGGCCCTGCACCTTGCCTGAGCAGCTAAGAAGAGCTGGCTCTGCATGGTGTGGAAGAGCTGGCTTCATGACTTAGTGTGCGTGGGAGCTGGTGCTGCCCCTCATGTGTACAGTGCAGGAGACCTGGCACTGGAGGCATGGGTGTGGAAGAGTTGGCCCTGATGGTGTGGGCACAGTAGAGGCAGCCCACCACTTATCTGGGCATCATGGGAGAGCTGACCCTAGTGACATGGGCAAGGTAGAGGGGGTGGGCTGACCAACTAAGCTACCACTTAGGCCTATATCCAGGGCTTTGAGCTGGCACACCCAACACCAACTCCATCTGTAAACTACTAGAGTTGATGGAGTGGCTGCTCCTACAGAACCAAAGTTGCAGGATCTCCATGACTCAGAGCTACAATAGAATATCCCACAGGAGTCTCATTGAGGATTCATTACCAATAAAGTAAGATAAGCTAGAGGTTACAAAGCAGACCAATGTCTCATTGCAATGAACATTTGCAAGTAACTTGTTTGTATAAAAGAACACACCTTGAGATACATTGCCACTTCTACAGTGAGACATTTTTTGTGAGCTTTATTTTCTATGTTATTATGGAGGGGAGGTTACAAGACTGGAGAGCAGATGTGCAAGGACCGGAAAATGAGTGGGATTGGGTGTTTGATGTGAAATTCACAAAGAATCAATAAAAAATGTGGAAAAAAATCAAACAAAGGAATATCCTTATTCTGTTATGGAATAATATTGTGAAAAAAAATAGAAACAAGTAATGGTCTCATCCTGACATCCCTTCTCATATTCATAAGAGTCATGACCACAGCTAGATGTTGTATAATTACATGTGTATGAGGGATTTAATTCAACGATTACTTTAAAAAGTCTGAAAAAAAATCATACATCTTATCATAATATCCTACTGATGATTGCCTCAGAACAAGAAAGACAATGTTAAATGGAGTTGAAGAAATGAATGCAAACATATTGTTAAAGAGGGGGAAATGTAAATAAAATGTAGACTTTGTTTCATCTGTTAATATTACTTTAATTTCATTTATTTTACATACCAACCACAATTTCTCCTCTGTCTTCTCCCATTCCCTCCCTCCACCTCCCTTCCACCCACCCCCCCCATTCACTCCTCCTCCATTATGAAGGGGACAAGCCTCCCATGGGAGTCAACATAACATTGTAGATCAAGTTGAGACAGGAACAAGCTACTCTCCAGCATCAAGGTTGGACAAGGCATCCCAGCATGGAGAATAGATCCCCAAAATCCAGTGACTGGTCCTGATCCCATTATTGGAGCCCCTGTAATAGACCTAGTTACACAACTGTCATCCACATGCAGAAGGCATAGGTGGTCCCATGCAGACTCCCTAGCTGTCAGTCCAGAGATGTGAGCTCCCACAAGCTCATGTCAGCTGTCTTTGTGGGTTCCCCCATTATGATCTTGATCCCCTGTCTCCTATGAAAACACTGAATGAGACAAAGTTCTATACTTATTAAATTCAGAAATACACTATCTGGCAAAAGTCCTTCCCCAGCTGATAACTTTTTTAAGTTTGAAGGCTGCTTGCAGTTTTCTTGTCATCTGTATCATGTTGAATTAGGTAACCAAAGTAAGATTGAGGATACAGGGAGCATGGTCAGTGGGCAGTGAGAAGCTCCACAATAAGGATTTCCAAGCAAGATTCGTCTTTTGAATATACTCGGTTTATTTGCAACAAACATTTCTTATAATTTCATATTAATAAAAATTGAACAGACACCTCATCAGGCAGAGAACAGTTGCCAGGCATAAAATGCTGCTGCAGAGCTGCACTGGGCAATCTCCTCCCATGAGGATGTTTAGGAAATTATGGTTTTGACCCATGCCATGGTGAAGTCCTTCAGCTGTGTCAGGCCAGCACAGGTGGGGTCCAGATGGTCCTGGAAAGCACAGGTGGGCATTTGTCAGTTTAGCAACAGTGCTGGAAGTTCGATGGTAACCAAAGCTAGAGTCAGACCCACAGGCTATTTTCAAAGCCATCTTGCAGACAGGTATCAACACAAAGGCAGGGAAGCTGCATCCAAGGAGGAGCATGGCATGTGATCCAAGGGGCCACTTCCAGAGTTCCAGCTTTTGTATCTTTTCATCCAGAGAAGGCCAAGTTAGTTTAGTGGATAAATACAGTATAATATACAAAATATTAGGAAACTCTCACTTGTGTCATGCAGTACATGTGTGAAACACAATATGATCATATTTGCATTGCTTACACATTTTAATGATTGTGTTCATATGATTCTTCAAGAGCTATTCAGAGAGAAAGTTGGATGGGATACACTCTGAGACTGAGTAGCTACCCAGCCAAATGTCTTTAGAGGCACCAAAACACAGCCAGAATAGGGAAGAATAGCTCTGTCTTTGTCTGAAGTAGGAAGATATAAGAGTAAAAAGTAAAATCAAAGTAAGTCATAAAGTCTATTACAGTACCAAAGTACAGATCATATTTTCAGAAACTGTAAGATGGTGCATCGTGATACCACCATCTGTGGCCGTTATAATAAAGTAAGTACATTATAAATGATAAAAGTGATTTTTATTTAATATCGGACATTGCATTTTAACATATATTTTGAAAGTAAACAAGCTATTAGATCGGTGTTTCTAGAGATAACTGATGAAATTTTTGTTGAATCATGTTAATAGATACTAACCTTTAGATTACCGCCCTAGTGATGTGATAAGATATACTACCTGCTGCATAACTCCGCTATTTATTGCTTTGTGATTCTGATAAGAGCTACCCATTCTGAGAAGTCAAATAGAATTAATGCCTGACTGCATGATTATGAGAAGTTGGCGTTAGGATATGATTAATCCATAGCTTCTATCTTTGATCTTATGTATATTCAAATTCTCTTGGAATTCACTCAACTGAGCTGAAAAATTGAACTAGTTAGCATTATTTCGATTACACCCCTGTCTCTCTCTCTCTCATTCTCTCCCTCCCGCTCTCTGTCTCTGCCTGCCTCTGTCTCTGTATCTCTCTCTTTTTCTGCAGACACCTATAAATCACAAAGTATAAATTCAATGGGTTTCTTTCATTTGGTACTTACAGGTGCATTGACTATGCAGTACTCATGAAGACTCTGCCTCCTCTTAGTGACTTCTAACAAGATCTTGACAGTCTGTATCTCCTGAAAGCTACACTTAAGCTAGCGATATGGAAGGGCTGATTGTGTTCCCATTCTGGTATTAGATACACTCACTTACTTGCCCAATGCTTTAGGATTCAGTTTCCAACTTCTTAACCTATACCAGGACTGGTTTCCTTTTTTTGACATAAGGTTATGTATATGTAAGTTTTGTGATTTCTGTAAGTTTAAGTAGAGTCACCTCGATTACTAGTGTAAATGAATGGTCAAGGCTGCTTCCCTCTTTGAGTTCAGAGACAATCCTACACATTTCAGTGAGTATTTGTACATCATTAAGATAATGAATTTATTTTTTGAGTTTTATATCTGAATTTTATTTAAATTAGAAACAATCTTATTTTACATATCATTCCCAGTTCCCTCTCCCTCCCATCCTCCCATGCCCTCCAACAACTCCCACCCCACCCACCCCCATCCACTCCTCAGGGAAAGTAAGGTCTTCCGTGGGGAATCATCAAAGTCTGCCACATCATTTGGGGCAAGGCCTAGGCTCTCCCCTGTGTATCTAGGCTGAGAGAATATCCCTCCATAGGGAATGGGCACCTGATGTCCATTCATGCACTAGCAATAAACACTGATTCCACTGCCAGATGCCCCATAGACTACCCAAGCCTCCTAACTTTCATCTGTGTTCAGGGGTCCTGGTTCGGTCCAGGCTGGTTCCCCATCTGTCAGACTGGGGTTCATGAGCTCTCCAGGAATTTTATTTTAAAAGAGTGCTTCATATATATATATATATATATATATGTTCATATATATATGTTCATATATATATGTTCATATATATATATATATATATATATATGTTCTCTTTATATGCCTTGCTGCATGTCTTTCTTTATTTAAAGCAAATAAAATATGTTCTACACCTCTACTGAGGCATCTTTTGAGTTTAACATCTGGTCAGTTTTGACAGTTGTACCATAAAAATTATTGACACTGGAGATGATTTTGTTTTATACAATTTACATAAAATCAACTCAACCAAAATTTGAGGGATTTCACCAATGATCAAAAGAGTAGAAGTGACTCCAAGATAAGGAAATGTCTAATATGTAGGACTTCCATATCTGAAAGCCATAGTCTCATTACTTGGGATTTGGATTGGTGAGTTATATATACAGATTGGAACTCATGTGGACAATAGGTATGATTATGCCTCATACTGTTATCCTATACAGTCAAGCTATACTTAGAGATTATGTAGTTATCATGACATTATGCATTATAAAGGAAACGTGGGCCATGGCAAAGTGTTGACTAAACTATACGGCAAATTTTTGCATGATCTCTCCGATATCATTAGCAACGCCATAATCCAAAATCCTGTTGACTACCTGGGATTAATATAAATCATCTTCCATATTAGGAAGAAGTTTTATTGCTTTGTTAAAAGATTTTAGATACAATATAGAAAAAACCCAGAAAAAGGATATTTCTTGGTAGATTTATAATAGTGCTTTGTCTGTACAAAAAAACTAAAAAAATTTAAACAAAAGTTTAAATAATGACTAATATTGGGAGAATTATTCATATCTTCAAAATTTCAGTTTTCTTTGTATATAGCCTTGTTTAAATAGGGTAAGAGTTTTTATAAGCATGCATTCACAAAAACACACAGCTCATTGAGAAGAAACAATGTCATTATTGTTTGTGGGGATCAAATGAAATACACAGTGAATGTGTGTTATTGACATGAGAATGTCACAGCACCAAGAAATGTATCTAATGGGGGGAAAATGGTACCAAGAAGTAAAGCTCTTTCTGTGATAAGTCTAAGTATAGGTGTTTAGGAACTGATTTGCATGAAGAATATGGGGGGGTGAGTCAGTGTATTTACCAAATTATTTTACAAGGGATTCTACTGAGTGAAAATTAAGTAGTTTTCCCATGTGCTTCTCAGTATTGTGAATGTATGCAGGGCTAGGTAATAGGATTATAAAGCAGGATGATTCAAGATACAAGGACTATGAGAAAGTTGTCCATCTACCTTTCAAGACATCTTAAGCAGATCTATGCAGGAGGATCTGGTGATAGAGGGAAAAATATGTTCTAGGTAATTTTCTTCTGGTAAAATGCAATCGCTAACTGTGAGGCTCACCAAACAAGCTTCCAAGATTGTGAGAAACAGGGTCTTTGCAGACAAGAAGCTGCAAGGAGTCTCCTGCTTACTCTCTTCATGCCAAGTTAAGTTCCCTGTGGTTCAGTGTTGTTTTCTGTGCCAAGACTGTAGATGCCTTGTTGTGCTCAGTTCTTTTTATAAGACCATTGTGTTATTATTTCAGAGTTTGAGACATGTGTATAACATGTACTGATCAAACGCTAGCCCCTCCCTGCCCTCCATTTTCCCACCCCCCATACTGCTTTTCACTCCCAACTTCAGGATCTCATTTTTAAAACCTGGTTGAGTTCACTTAGTGCTGTCAGAATGTGGGGGGTATAAAGCCACCTGGCACATGCCAATAACTTTCAAGGCTTGAGCTTCTGACTCTTCTTCCTTAGTAATTATCACCTGCCAAAAGCTCCTTAGACAGACATTGTACTTCAAGTACCCACCCATCCATTCTGGGATTGTGTCTGGTTTAATCTTGTGTGGATTTTGTGCTTCCGCTCACAACCACCACAATTCATGGGTGCAACAGTTCTGTAATGCCCAGACAATGCTGTTCCACCCCAGCTATCCACTACTTCTGGCCCTCATACCTACATTGTGCAATCTCAACACTTCCTTCCACATTTTGGTCCCTCCTGGAATGTACCAGTGCCATGGTTGGTTTCACTTTCCCAGGTTTTGTGGCTTTGTCAAAGTGAGAATTAAATAAGGATACTACTTCTCATGAAATTCTTGCAAACTGGTATTTGAGGTATTTATGCTTTATGAAAAATGTACCATAAATCAATTGTCACACAGTTTAAGTTGGTGATTTTTATGTACACAAGTACATTTGTCAATGTACCACAAAAATATTTTATTTCATTCTATGAAAGAAATAACTTTCAGCTGTGTAAATTAATATGCTTCCCATTCTGTCTAGAGAAGAATTCAGAGAGCAGCCATAATACTCCTTTCAGTGCTTTTGTGAGACATTTTAGACTATTCTAATGTCTATGTAGCATATATGATTGAACATGCAGTCATCAATTCCTGGTTTATTGAAAATACTTCATCATAAAAGAGACATTAAACACATTCCAGTAAAACAATAGTAATCAAAATTAGCTTTCTGTATTTTGACCTCCAACATGCTGATGGTGATTCAGCTATCAGCTTTGAACAATGCAAGTTATATTTTAACTTCTTGACTAATCTATTATTAGATAAAAACATGAGTAGTGACAGAAGGGACCACACTGTGGACTGAAGAGCTTTGATTCCCCAGGATGCCTGTGAAGTGGATACCTGTGCTGTTCCTGCTGCAGATGCTGCTGCTATTTCAGATCCGGCAACTGTGGGAAGGTGTTGGTGTGGCCAATGGAATACAGTCACTGGATGAATTTAAAGATAATCCTGGATGGACTCGCACAAAGGGGTCATGAAGTGACAGTTCTGAGACCTTCATCTTCTATCTTTCTTGATCCCAAAAAAGCATCTGGTCTCATATATGAAACATTTCCTACAGCTTCCAATAAGGAGGAAACAGAAAAGTTTTTTACAAAATGGGTCAATGTGTGGGTATATGATGTACCAAAAGATAGGTATTGGAGATATTACCCATCATTGAAAAGAAAGTTTCGGCAATATTCTAATATGTAGTTAAAGCTTTGTAGAGAAGTAGTTACAAACAAACAATTTATGGCAAAACTAAAAGAATCCAAGTTTGATGTTGTTCTTTCTGAGGCTATTGGTCCCTGTGGTGAACTGATAGCTGAGTTACTCCAAATACCCTTTGTGTACAGTCTTCCCTTTGGTAATGGCTACACAATAGAAAAGTACAGTGCAGGACTTCTATTCCCTCCCTCCTATGTACCTATTGTTTTGTTGGGATTGAGTGGTCAAATGACATTCATTGAGCAGGTAGAAAATATAATATGTTTACTTTAGTTTGACTTTTTATACAAGTCATTTCCTGCTAAGGATTGGGATCCAATTTTCAGTGAAATTTTAGGTAAGTTTTCTCTCTTATGCAGCATGAGGGACTAACTTTTATTGTTCTTTGAAGATATTCTTAGATGCAAATATGTCTTTCATGCTGAAATTTTTAAGTGAAATAAAACATTATGCTACAATCTCACTACAGTATCATGCCCAAACTTCATTTTAAATACCTAAAATTTTGAAGCTTGGACCTAGATATATTTGGTCTATATTGTTGTCAGTCTTGGTTTCCTAGTTTAAGTAATAAACCACAATTATGCAAAAGCAAAAATTCCTATTCTTATATTTTATGAAAACTTTCCAGAGAATATCTGTAAATATTTTTTACAAAAACTCATATTATTACATCGCTAATGCAAATGAAAAGCAGAGATAAATGTCAGAAATTCTTCCCGGAATAACCCTCATAATTCTTTAATTTCTTTCTTTAGAGTCACAAAGTTCTTATTATATAGGTCTTTTACTTGTTTGGTAAGCGTTACACCAAGATACTTTATGTTGCTTGTGGCTATTGTAAAGGGTGATGTTTCTCTGATTTCTTTCTTTACCTCTTTGTCGTCTGAAAAAAATAGGGCTACTGATTTTTTTGAGTTTATCTTGTATCCTGCTTGTTTGCTGAAGGTGTTTATAAGCTGTAGGAGTTCCCTGGTAGAGTTTATTGGGTCACTTATGCAAACTATCATATCATCTGCAAATAGAGACAGTTTGACTTCTTCCTTTCCAATTTGGATGCCCTTGATCTCCTTTTGTTGTCTTATAGCATTAGCTAGAACTTCTAGTACGATATTGAAGAGATATGGAGAGAGAGGACAGCCTTGTCTTGTTCCTGATTTTAGAGGAATTGGCTTGAGTTTCTCTTCATTCAGTTTCATGTTGGCAGTTGGTTTGCTGTATATTGCTCTTATTATGTTTAGGTATGTTCCTGTTATCCCTGACCTCTCCAATACCTTTATCATGAAAGGGTGTTGAATTTTGTCGAAGGCTTTTTCCGCCTCTAGGGAGATAATCATATGGTTTTTCTTTTGCTGTTTGCTTATATGGTGGATCACGTTGATAGATTTTCACATGTTAAACCATTCCTGTATTCCAGGGATGAAGCCTACTTGGTCATGGTGGATGATTTCTCTGATGTATTCTTGAATTCGATTTGCCATTATTTTATTGAGTATTTTTGCATCGATGTTCATCAGGGATATTGGTCTATAGTTTTCTTTCTTAGTTGTGTCTTTGTGAGGTTTGGGTACCAAAGTTATTGTGGCCTCAAAAAAGAGTTTGGCACAGAACCTTCTGTTTCTATCTTGTGGAACAGTTTGAGGAGTAGTGGTATTAGTTCTTCCTTGAATGTCTGGTAGAATTCTGCACTGAATCCATCTGGCCCTGGCCTTTTTTTGGTTGGAAGGCTTTTGATGACTGCTTCTATTTCATTGCGGGTTATAGGTCTATTTAAGTTGTTTGTCTGTTCTTGATTTAATTTTGGTAAGTGATAGTTATCCAGAAACTTGTCCATTTCCTTTGAATTTTCAATTTTTGTGGAATACAGATTTTCAAAGTATGACCTGAAAATTGTCTGGATTTCCTCTGTGTCTGTTGCTATGTTCCCCATTTCGTTTCTGCTTTTGTTAGTTTGCATGTTCTGTCTCTGCTTTTTCGTTAATTTGGATAAAGGTTTGTCTATCTTGTTGATTTTCTCAAAAAAACAACTCTTACTTGCATTGATTTTTTGTATTGTTTTCCTGGTTTCTATTTTGTTGATTTCAGCCCTCAAGTTGATTATTTCCTGGCGTCTACTCCTGCGGGATGAATTCGCTTCTCTCTGTTCTAAGGTTTTCAGTTGGGCTGTTAATTCTCTTATGTGACTATCCTCTGTTTTCTTCATATGAGCACTTAGTGCAATGAACTTCCCTCGTAGCACTGCTTTCAAGGTGTCCCATAAGTTTGGGTATGTTGTATCCTCATTCTTGTTGAATATTAGAAAGTCCTTAATTTCTTTCTTTATTTCTTTGACCCAGGAGTGGTGCAATTGCATATTGTTCAGTGTCCATGAGTTTGCAGGTTTTCTGCTATTTGTGTTGTTGAATTCCAATTTTAAAGCATGGTGGTCCTATAAGATACAGGGGACTATTCCTATTCTCTTATATCTATTGAGGTTTGTTATGTCACCTAGTATGTGGTCGATTTTAGAGAAGGTTCCATGTGGAGCAGAGAAGAAGGTATATTCTTTTGTCTTTGGATGGAATGTTCTATAGATGTCTGTTAACCCCAGTTGAGACATAACTTCTGTTAATTCTTTTGTTTCTTTGTTGAGTTTCTGATTTGTGGTCCTGTCTAGTGTTGAGAGTGGTGTATTGAAGTCTCCCACTATAAGTGTGTGAGGTATTACAAGAGCTTTGAGTTTTAGTAGTGTTTCTTTTACGAATGTGACTTTGTATTAGGGGCATAGATGTTCAGAATTAAGACTTTGTGTTGATGGATTTCTCCTGAGATGAATATGAAATGACCGTCTTCATCTCTTTTGACTACTTTTGGTTTGAAGTCTAACTTGTTAGATATTAGGATAGCTACGCCTGCTTGCTTCTTATTTCCATTTGATTGGAAAATCTTTTCCCAACCCTTTTACTTTTTGGTAAGCGTTACACCAAGATACTTTATGTTGCTTGTGGCTATTGTAAAGGGTGATGTTTGTCTGATTTCTTTCTCTGTCTCTTTGTTGTCTGAAAAAAGTAGGGCTACTGATTTTTTTGAGTTTATCTTGGTGTAACGCTTACCAAACAAGTAAAGATCTATATAATAATAACTTTGTGGCTCTAAAGAAAGAAATTAAGGAAGATACCAGAAAATGGAAAGATCTCCCATGCTCTTGGATAGATAGGATAAACATAGTAAAAATGGCAATCTTGCCAAAAGCAATCTACAGATTCAATGCAATCCCCATTAAAATCCCACCACAATTCTTCACCGACCTTGAAAGGATAATAATCAACTTTATATGGAAAAACAAAAGACCCAGGATAGACAAAACAGCCCTATACAATAAAAGAACTTCAGGAGGCATCACCATTCCTGACTGTAAGTTCTATTACAGAGCTATAGTTCTGAAAACAGCCTGGTATTGGCATAAAAATAGACAGGTAGACCAATGGAATCGAATTGAAAATCCTGATATTAACCCACACACCTATGAACACCTGATTATCGACAAAACAGCTAAAATTATACAATGGGGCAAGGACAGCATCTTCAACAAATGGTGCTGGCACAATTGGATGAGGGTGTGTAGAAGACTGCAAATAGACCCATGTCTGTCGCCATGTACAAAACTCAAGTCAAAATGGATCAAAGACCTCAACATCAATCCAGCCAAACTGAACCTCTTAGAAGAGAAAGTAGGAGGTACCCTTGAAGAAATTGGTATAGGAGACTGCTTCCTGAACATAACTCCAGGGGCACGGACACTGAAAGAAACAATTAATAAATGGGACCTCTTCAAACTTAGAAGCTTCTGTAAGGCAAAGGACACAGTGGACCAAACAGCAGCCCACAGACTGGGAAAAGATTTTCACCAATCCTATATCTGACAAAGGGCTGATCTCCAAAATATACAAAGAACTCAAGAAACTAGTCAACAAAACACCAAATAACCCTATTAAAAAATGGGGTATAGAACTGAAGAAAGAAATCTCAATAGAGGAATTCAAAAAGGCTGAAAGTCACTTAAGAAAATGCTCCATATCCCTAGCTATCAGGGAAATGCAAATCAAATCAACTTTGAGATACCATCTTACTCCTGCCAGAATGGCTAAAATTAGAAACACCAATGACAACTCATGCTGGAGGGGATGTGGAGAAAGGGGAACACTCCTCCACTGCTGGTGGGAGTGCAAACTCATACAGCCATTTTGGAGATCAGTATGGTGGTTCCTCAGAAAAATAGGAATTAGTTTACCCGGCAATCCCCCACTTAGGCTTATACCCAAAGGATTCACATCCATGCAACAAAGACATCTGTTCAACTATGTTCATAGCAGCACTATTTGTAATAGCAAGAACCTGGAAGCAACCTAGATGCCCCTCAATTGAAGAATGGTTAATGAAGATGTGGCACATCTACACAATGGAATATTACTCTTCAGAAAAAAATAATGGTATCTTGAAATTCGCAGGCAAGTGGATGACACTTGAAGAAACCATCCTGAATGAGGTAACCCAGTCACAAAAAGAGGAACACAGTTATGTACTCACTCTGTAATTCTCACCACCAGAGGAAATAGGATACATGGTGTATTCAAAGAGATTCATATAAAGTCCCTCACAGAACTGGGAAGGGACAATTCCCTCAGTGCTCAGGGGAAGTGCGGGAGGGCAATGAATGTAGAGAGAAGTAGGAGAAAACGAGGGGGAGGAAAAGAAAACATGTGTGACCAGCAAGATTTAGCCTGGTTAGGAATAGAAGACAGGAAAGAGAGAGAGAGGGAGAGAGGTAGAGAGAGAGAGAACATAAAAGAGGGAGCCAATATTGGTTTGAAGATAAAATTGAACACAAAGAAAGGTCTAGAGAACTACAAGACTGCTGCCAAATAACAATTTGAGCTTCCGTGGAAAGGCTATCATAAATGCCCTTCCCAGAGAGTGAGATCAACAACTAACTTATCCATGGAGCCCTCAACTAATGCCTGTTGGAAACAGGAGCAAACACCCACACATAAACACTGAGTCGAAGTAGAACTCAGATGCAGAGGGAGAGGACAATACCAGGTGGCAGATACACATACAGACAGCTTACCTGAACAAGGAGGAGATATAGGGCCACCAGACTGATAGCTGGGAAGCCAGCCTGGGACTGACTCAGGCCCCCCTGAATATGGGTCTAAGGGACCTCAGACAGTAGAGCCAGGATGTATTCCTGGAGCACAAAATGACTTTGCGAACACAACCCCATGGAGGGATAACTGCCTTAATCTAGAGACAGGAGAGAAGCCCTAGTCCCTACTTCACATGACCTGTCAGATCTACGTGACCCCAACTGGATGGCATTCCCCTACATACGGAATTGGGGTGGGGGGATGGGAGGGTGGTTAGAGTGCATGTGAGAGGGCAGAGAGGGTAAAAGGAAGGGAAGAAGGGAGGGAGGAAGGGAGAGAGTGAGGGAGGTTGGGAGGGTGGGAGGGAGGAAGAGGGAACTGGGATTGACATGTAAAATAATGAATTAAATTTTACTCCAAAATTAAATTCAAGGACATGTTACTTGGGAAAAGTATTTCTATTTTTGTTTCCACAGAAAATGAAAAGATGTGGATTCCTTCCAGACTAATGTGGTTTGATCAAGCCAGACTGCCTAAAACAGAGTACCAAGTGATCCTACATTCAAAACAGCTGGACAAAGCAGCCTGACAGACTACAGCCAGGATTTCTGAATCTTCTTCGAATCCCCCATGACAGCTCCCATTACCAGTTGGAAGTAGTTTGGAAAGAACGACGCCCAAATTCTCAAATATTGTCTATAAATGTTTGTTTTCATTTAAATGGACTTGGTTATATAAAATACAAAAAAAGATCTCCTTAAGTTTGTTGAAATTAATAATATGGTTTTTATTTAAATTTACATTTCACTGCTACATAAAAGTAACAATGTTATTAAAGGAGTGACAGTACTGTTTTAGTGTATATAAATATTGTATGATGTTTATGCATCAAGATAATTATATCTATCTCCTCAAACATTTATTACTTCTTTGTGGTGAAATATTCAAGACCCTTTCTTTTGGCTATTGAAATATACACCCTGCTTGCAGTAGCATACTAGAACTTTTTTTTTCCAGTATGTAGCCCAGGCTAGCCTGGAACTTATCATCCTCCTACTTCTGCCTCTGAGTGCTGGGTTTGCCTGTGCCACTATAGCTACTTGCCAATTCTTAGTCCAATTCAACCCAACTTTTCTCCTTGCCTCACTAACCATCTGCATATAATGAGTGCTCTATTTCCCACATTTACAATTTTTTATTTTGAGGCAGAATCTCACTATGCAGTCGTGGCTTGCATAGAATCCACTATAGAGACCAGGCTGGACTGGATCTCAGAGATTCACTTGCCAGTTGCTGTCTCTCAGTTTCTGGGATTAAAGGCCTATGGCATACCTGGTTCTTGAATTAGCTTTTTTATATTCCACATGTGAGTGAACTCATGTGATATTTATTATTATCTCCCTGCACCTGCCTCATTACACTTGACATGATAAATTCTACTTCTGTCTGTTGTTGAAAATGACAGTCATTACACTTTATGGCTGAATAGTGTTTTACTTTGTGTATATAGCATAGCAACATGTTTTAAAGTTAACATTAAAAGATTGTACTCTTACAAGATCTCAGAATGACTGGCTAGTTTTCTGAAAAACACAGTGTTTGGGTTGAGGACATCAGAGAGGGAGCTCATCTTTGAGGCAATTAGAGTGTTCTGGTGTGTTTTCACACTGCCATATCTACCTGGTTTCTAGAATGTTCTCGTGTGTTATTCACAGTGCTGTATCTGCTTGGTTTGATGATATGATTCCTCCCGTGCCATGTTTCTTCCCAATTTTCAAATTAGTTTCTCACATAAAATCACACTAGAAAACTGTGAACTGACCTAAGAAATAATTAAGAATGACTTATGATTAATGCAATTTGAAAACTTGTCCTTCCAAAGTGTTAAAGTGGTGTTGCAAGAGTTTGAGTGGTTTGAATTTACTGTGCTAAATCAAGGCTGATGCTAATGCCTGTCTTTACTATGGTCATATGATTAGCTGACTATGAAGCCATGAGTTTTTGAGCTGCTTGAGTCCTTTCTGCCTCTCATTGCTCTTATTTCTCTCTAGTGATTATGTAGATCCCCCCATCCCCACCACTAACTGCTATGGCATCCACCTCAAAAGTGCTCAATATTGCATGATAAATATGCAGTTAGTCTTGAATGGGCTTTTTCAGTGATGATAACGACAATCTTACCTTGTCAGGCATGTGGTCTGTGCTAAGCTCCTTGTATATGTACTTTATATTATTCCTTATGTCTAGCATAACTTCCAGGAGGCAGTCAGCATTCTGATGCCACATTGTAAACGACAACAGAAACTCAGAGACACTGTTCTCCCGAAGCCACACAACCAGTAATTAGATAACTCGAATTCAAGCTTTTTTTTTTTTTTTTTTTTTTTTTTTTTGATCCACACAGTAACTACTGCTGTGTCATGCCACTCTACGGCATTGATGCCCAAGCTATGTTGACAACATCTTGGTGAAACTTTACCCCTGACTTTCTTTGGATTAAATTTTTTCACTTTATTTTTCTACTAAATACATTGTTTTATTTCTTAAAATAAACACTAAAATGAAACAATGCTGTGTGTGTGTGTGTGTGTGTGTTGACACAAGACCAATAATTTTGACAGTGCTACTTTACAATGGCTTTTTAAATGCTAGCATTAAATGCCATTTTTAATTGTTTAGCTTGGTGAGTGCATTAGAGACAGTGGTTCACTGTTTCACTTTGGAAAAGCTGCTCTCTGTCAGGTTTGTGAACAGTTTCATTGTTTAGTTCACCCAGAGGTCAGTAGTTATAAAAATACACTTTTAGTAGGTCATGCAATAGCTGTTTTGTATTTGTTGTAGGGACTTGCCCTCAGTGGTTGAGATGAGCAGTTTTGTACCTTCTTTGTGTGTGTGTGTGTGTGTGTGTGTGTGTGTGTGTGTGTGTGTGTGTGTGTGTGTGTGTGTCCGTGTTGCCTGTGTGGGGTGTATCTTGTTTGAAAGCCTGAGGCTTATAGTCTTAGAAAACTAAACTCTTAAATCTCTGTTTTGTGAAATGTCTATTAGATATCATTGCATTTGACAGATGTTTTGGCTGTGGAACTTTAACACATGGGCATTTTGTCAGAGTTGAAAGAAAAAGGAGGTCTGTGGTCATTTTGTTTGATTAAAAAACATTGAGGCAGTCAGGCTGGCAGCCCTTGCAGGTGACTTCAGTTTCCGTGTCTTGCTTGCCCTGGAGACTGCCTCTCCGCTCTGGGTTCTCCTCTCAGCATGATGAAGTGTTAAGGTTTGTTCATTTCAAAACAGACCTTTTAAAAATAAAAAAGTCACATTGTTTAGCATGCTAGACTATGAGCCTTAGCGACAGAGTCTCCTCTTGGCTGGAAAAAAAAATCTCTTAAAGTAAAATCACATGACCCACAAGAAAAGCTATTACTCAGTTTGAGGTGGCTTATTCTGCTTCTTAGTACCGAAAGCAGGGCATTAACTGGAAGGAGCTTGGCAGAGCTGTTTAGCCAAAGGGTCGAGTTCTAAATCCTGGCAGAGACCATTCCTTTGAGTTACATTCTTCTATGTCTTTGTAAAAGTCTGATTTTGACTATAACCCTCCATTTTCACCAGCAGAATTGAGACTAATATATCCTCTGAGAGAGAGAGAATTATTTTAGATAAAGTTGTTATAAACCCTTTGGTCATCATTACCCTCAATTGCAGCCATATGGAATTTGGGGTAGTGGGAGTGGAATTAGGGGTGCCCTGACTACAGCTGGGCCTTGGTGGCTCCATGAATAACATGGGAAACTGACTTTTTTTTTTTCTAAGCTATGCTGGTTTGGGCTTTAAAAAAATTTTTTTTAAAAAAATTGTGTGAGTCTGAGTAGGAAGGAGTATGCACATGAGCCCAGATGCCCATAGAAACCAGAGGCATCAGATCTCCAGAGCTGGAGTTACAGGCAGTTACGATCTGCCCAGCGTGGGTACAAACAAACAAACTCAGGTCCTCTTCAAGAGTAGTAGGTGTTCTTAACCACCAAGCAGTCCCTCCAGTCCCAGGGCCAGATTTTGATATATCTTTTCTGCGACTTTTTTCTTTTAAGTTCAATCAAGGCAACAACAAAAGAGAAGCTTCCTTAATTAAACAAGGAGAAATAGGCAACAGATGCCCAACATGGCTGGAAACTCCATTGTGGGCAGAGTGCGGCCTCTGGGTGCAGTGCAGTGAACAGTGCCCCAGCCTCAATTTCTGAAGAAGTAAGCTCTAGCAATCTCGGTCACTTAATTAGTTTTATACCTTTTGGCAACTGACATAATCTTCTCATTTTTCTTTTTATCTGTAAAATAGAACAGCAATGCCAGCCTTGGGTCACGTGGCAACTCTGAGAGTACTTTGTAAAGGAGTGATTAAGTACATTTTGTGGGTGAGTTAACCCACCTTGGATGACCCAGGGCATTAAGTACACTGTGGGGCCACAGAGGGAGGCAGTCTCACTGCCTCCTGGCTCATCCCTTGCTTTCAGCCTTTGCATTGGTTCTGTAATTAGAGCTGGGCTGCCATGTACTAGTCCCAGTGCACATGCCCTGACTGTACCCCTTCGTGGCCTTTCCTACCTACACTCCCAAAGATAATCTTGCTTTTGCCTAGTCAGTTTCCCCTTGTAGTTACTTCTCTTTCACCCCGAAGTGCACTCATGTCAAGCCAAGACGCTTACCTTCTCTCTGTCCCATCCCTTCTGCTGCCTGCCTTACCACAACAGTTTCTTGCAGGGCTCTGGAGACCCATTTCTGCTCTTCTCTCCTCACCCTGGGTGTGGCTCTGCTTTGCTCATGGTCCTGTTGTCACTGACAATGGGAGCCTTCTTGCTTCATCTTGTAGGGTGCTTTCCCTGTCTCATTGCCAGCAGGAGATGGAAACCTGCCACTTTTGAAAGGTCCCATGCTACAAGTGAACTTCAGTTTCCAGTTTGAGAAAGCAGAAACAGAACAGTCATGTTTTTACCCTTCTCTGCTAATAACAATAATAGACATTAATAGCAGAAGTAACTACAGCGCTGGCTATATCAGCAACAATACCCATCATTGCCATGGCAGTTAAAATTTATTGTCACTTTTTGCAACCACGCAAGATGATTTTTTTTTTAATGCGCACTGTATTATTTAAACCTTAAGACCACTCTATGAGATTACTAAATGATTTTTCTTATGTTGACTTGATAAAAACTGAAGCTGAAACAGTATAGACACCAGACAATTAGAGACACCACATTGAATGCTGTGTGTGTTGGGTTTCACATTCCGCTGCTACATGTTCTGAATTACACTGATTAGCTCCTAGAGCTGAGGCCTCTAATGTGAATGTTCACTTGAATGCAGGCAAGATAGACATGAAAGTCAGTAGACAGGTAGGACTGGCAAGACACCAGCTTCTGATGCTGGGAGCCTTCTCCCCCGTGTTGGTTGCAGTAAGGTAGGATGGGGACTGGCGCCTGTTGCAGAATGAACATCTGTCCTGTCTAAAAATGAGTCACTGTGCCAGGCAGTGGTGGCCCTTGCCTTTAATCCCAGCTCTTAGGAGGCAGAGGCAGGCTGATCTCTGTGAGTTTGAAACCAGCCTGGTCTACAAGAGGTAGTTCCAGGACAGGCTCCAAAGCTACACAGGGAAACCCTGTCTCAAAAACAAAACAAAACAAAAACACAAAACAAAAAAAAATACACACAAAAACAAAAAACAAAACAAAATAACAACAACAATTAAAAACAAAAAACCAAAACAACAACAAAAACCCCACCAAAAAAAAACAAAACAAAATAAAAACACAAATAAATAAATAAATAAAAATTAAAAGGGTCACTGCTAGTCAGCACCCAATCTCCTCAAAGAATGAGATTTTTTTTTTTCCTTTTGGACATAGATTTTAAAAGATGAAGATTAGATTTTATAGTTATTAATGTCCTAGTTATTAAATATTGACATTTAATGGATAACCTTTAGAAACCTAAACAAAACACTGCAAAGGTTAGAGTAATTATGTCTGGGGACTGTGTTTGGTTTGGTTCATTCCCTGTTTGGGGTTAGGTCTTATAATGTTTTACTATTTCAGTGAGTAGTAGCATGGATCAAGAGATGTGTTCTTTGCTATTCCCCAGCAGTTGTACCATTCTGAGCCGCTCTGTGATTTATTGCATAGGTGAAGACTTTGGGCCCAACCCATTTGATTGAATATTGCATAAAAACTGAAAGAAGTAACAGCAAGAGCAATGCCTAAATACCTACTGCGTGCCACCCACCTAGCAAGTATCTCTTTCATTGAATCCCCTTAGCGGTCCTGTTTGACAACTAAGGGAAAGAGATCTGATTGGTTAAGAATGGAAACAACAACTTGCCTCAGTCACATCTCCAGTGTTGGGTAGGGCAGGGCTCCTGTCCAGAGGCACTCTGCCCTGAAGGTCTCCTTCGGGCATGGGTCAGGCTCCCTGTGCTCAGGGTGAGTATTCAGTTTCAATGGAGACAATCCCTCTACTCAAAATGCTATCTGTACACTACCAGAAATCCTTCTCTTTTACACTGTCACCCTGCCTGAAATTCTAGCCTTGAGGGATTCCTTTGTGCTACAAACAATGCTCTGGGTATGTTCCCCTACAGGCTTTCTTCTTTTGAAGGTGGATGTGGTTGCTCAAGTTACCTCCTTCCAGAATCCCGCTGAAAGCATGGGAACATTCCTGGACACTGGGAGACAAGAACCATTCTGGGAATCATGAGTCATGCTCAGTCATGGTGGCTGGATGGTGGAACAGAGGAGTGCCTGAGCAGGTCTCCTGCTGCTGCTGCAGTGGAAATTTTGTTTTTGTTTATTACTTTTTCTTATTTTACATATTGGTCCCAGTTCTGTCTCCTTCCCTCCCTATTTCCCTCCCTCCATGTTCCCCCAAGTCTCCCTCCTATCCCATTACCCACCCACTCCACAGGGAGGGTGAGGCCTTTCAGGAGGGATCATCAAAATCTGTCAAGTCATTTGGAGTAGGGTCTAGGCCATCCCTCCTGCTTCTAGGTTAATGAGTATCCCTCCATGGCGAATGTGCCCCCAAAGTCCTTTCGTGACCAAGGATACATCCTGGTTCTACTGTCAGAGGTCCCTTAGACTGCCCAGGCCTTTAAACTGAAACCCACGTTCAGGGGGTCTGAGTTAGTCCTATACTGGTTTCCCAGCTATCAGTCTGAGGGTCCATGCTCTTCCATTTGTTCAGGTCAGCTGTTTCTGTGGGTTTCTCCAGCCTGATCTTGACTCTTTTGCTCATTTCTCCTCCCTCTCTGCAACTGGATTCCAGGAGTTCAACTCAGTGTTTAGCTGTGGGTGTCTGTTTCTGTTTCCATCAGCTACTGATGAGGGTTCTATGATGGCATATATGGACTTTGGGAGCCCATTACACAGAGGCATACTTTCTCAGCCTAGACACATGGGGGAGGGCCTAGGCCCTGCCCCAAATGATATGACAGACTTTGAAGACTCCCAATGGAAAGCCTCACCCTCCCTGGGCAGCAGAAAGGGGATGGGCTGGGGTTTGGTGGGGGTTATAGGGGAGGATGGGAGAGTGAAGGAACTGGGATTGACATGTAAAACAACCTTGTTTCAAATGTAAAAATAATGCAAAAAAATAATAATTCACAGTATTTCAAGAGTCAAAAACATTTTCACACAAATACAGAAAAATGTAGTTTTTTATTTCCATTTAACAGTTAACAACTAGAAGGAGAAATTCATGAAAAGGATATGAAGCCAGTAAATCTCTGAACATCTATATTTATAATCAATAAGCACTGATAAGTAGTCAATATAAATTCCTTATCAATCTCAACTCCTTATCAGCTTTGCCCACATATGGACACAGTGAAAATGCCATGAATTGGCTGTGTGTCTCCAAATTGTTCTGCTGTTCTGAACTGTAACCATCTTTATGATACACAGAAATTTATATACATTTTTAACCTTCATATCTTCCTTCAGGTATAAAAAGATTGTGATGTGGTTATCAACCATTCACCATGACCAGCCCATGAAACCCCTAGACAGAGCCACATTCTGGATTGAGTTTGTCATGTGCCACAAAGGGGCTAAGCACCTGAAACCACTTTCCTATAACCTCACCTGGTACCAGTACCACTCTCTGAATGTGATTGGATTCCTACTGGCCTGTGTGGCAGCCATAACTTTCTTCACTATAAAATGCTGCTTGTTTGTTTACCGATTCTTTGCAAAAAAGGTAAAGAATAAAAGAGAATAGGACTCTTCAAGAATGAAGACAAGGCAATTCCATTCAATTCTAGCACTGTGTATTAAGTGCATCTTGCTTTAGAAGCTACTTAAAAATTGATAAATTAACCATTAATATTTATTTCCTAACCTAACAAATTTTGTGCTGAATTATCATTGTAATAATCCTGAGAACAATGATAACAACTGAAACACCATCTTGTATATGGGAAAAGAATAGGAAGCCTGAAGATTTTATTGTGAATTTTTCAGAGATATCATTTTTAAAATAAAATGGAATGAAATGAACTATAAGTGTTTGTCAAAAAAAATTATCTATTTAAAAAGTGACAAGGCAGATTTTATTCAAACTACCAAAGTAGAGGAAAGAGGCTTCAGGGAACAATGAACCCAACTCTATCAGAAAAAAAAAAAAAAAAAAGATGAATAGACGTTTTATAGTAACAAATATAAATGGCAGCAGGATGTTTCAGCTGGTTTCACAAGCTTGACTATCTGAGTTCAAGGTTTAGAACCCACAGATTATGGAAGGAGAAAATCAACATCACAGAATTGTTCTTTGACTTCAGCCTGTGTCTCCGCCCACACATGTCCATATACCCATATACATACACATACACACTCACACACACACTCATATACCACCACCACAACACCAACAATAACAACAAATACAAAGTAAAGTTTAAAGAACACTAAAACATGTGAAGAGGGAAATAAATAAATAGGAATTAAAAAAGGAGTCCTTTGAGATAGTTGAGAATTACAAAAGTAGGTGGAAAAAATACTTAAATGTACTGGCAAGAGGGAAAAGCAATATACAACTCACAGTTTCACATAAATACAGATGCATACATACAGGTGTTGAAAGTTAAATCACCTTTAAAGACAGAATACAACTGGAATCCAGGATTATTTGATGTAGATACACGGTTAACCAAATTCTATATGCTACATGAGCATAGAAAGAGCCGAACTGGAATCCAAATGCAGAGAGAGAGAGAACAAGAACAGGCTATAGAAACCCACAGAGACAGCTGACCTGGGCTCCCAGACTGATAGCTGGGAATTCAGCATAGGACCGACTCAGACCCCCCTGAATGCGGGTCTCAGTTAGAAGGCCTGGGCAGTCTAAGGGACCTCTGACAGTGGAACCAGGATGTATCCCTGGTGCACAAAAGGACTTTGGGAGCACATTCCCCATGGAGGGGTACTCCCTTAGCCTGGAAAGAGAAGGATGGGAGAGTGGTTGAGGGGCATGGGAGAGGAGAAGAAAGGGAGTGAGAGAGAGAGGAACGGAGAGGGAACTGAGATCAATAGGAAAAATTAGAAAAGACAAAAAAACAAACAAAAGAACAGAGACCAAAAAAAAAAAGAAAGAAATATATCTTTCTTAAAAAATTTGCCAAAATTTCGTTATTTATTACACCAACTCAAGATTTTTCCTAATACACTTGCCTCAGCTCTTTCACAGCTGATGGCTTCCATCAGGTGTAGAAAGGAGTCTTTGTTTATTTGTTTTTTTGTTTTGTTTTTTGTTGTTTGTTTTTGTTTTCATCTATTTGACTCCCTCTGAACTAGTTTTTCTCTGTTCACTGGGTCCCACAGCTGCTTAAGAAATAACCACTTAGAGACTTAATATATATTTATAATTGTTTGCCCTTTGGCTTAGGCTTCTCACTGGCTAACTCACTCTTAATTATTAATCAATTATTATTCATCTGTGTGTCTCCACATGACTGTGGCTTATTTAAGTGATTCCCTGTAATTCTATCTCCCTGGTGGCTACATGGCCACTGTCCTTTGTCTTCTTTTTCCCTGTCTCTTTGTTTGGAATTCTTGCCTAACTAAATTCTGCCTGTCCACTGGCTGAAACAGCTTTATTCATCAACCAATAAAAACAACACATATTTACAGCATACAGAATGACCTCCAACATCAGGCAGAGATGTGGGGAAGGATTCATTTATCTTTAGGGTACTTTCTACTGGGAGTTTTGCCATGCCCCAATGAGTGCATGTACAACACAGATTGCATTTGGTGAATTTTTTAGGGGGGGTAGTATGCTGGGGTAGGAGGGTGGACCTGGTTATATAATATATATATATATATATATATATATATATATATATATATATATGAATATATAAGGGAAAACTCTAAAAAAGAAAAGAAAAGAACGTGTACAACGTCCTCAGCCATCAGAAAAATGCAAATCAAAACAACTCTGAGATGGCATCTTACTCCTGTCAGAATGGCTAAAATAAAAAACACTAAGCTAGAGAGGATGTGGAGAAAGGGGTACACTACTCCACTGTGGATAAGAATGCAAACATCCACTTTGGAAATCAGTATGTGGGTTTTTCAGAAAAATGGGAATCACTCTACCTCAAGATCCAGTAATTCCACTCTTAAGCATATAACCAAAAGATGCCCATTCATACAACAAGGACATCTGTTCAACTATGTTCATAGCAGCATTATTTGTAATACCCAGAACCTGGAAGCAACCTAAATGCCCCTCGACTGAAGAATGGATGGAGAAAATGTGACACAATGGAGTACTACTCAGCAGAAAACAAAATGGAATCTTGAAATTAGCAGGGAAATGGATGGAACTAGAAGAAACCATCCTGAGTGAGATAACCCAGTCACAAAAAGACAAACATGGTGTATACTCACTCATATATGATTTTTTAGACATAGAGCAAAGGATTACCAGCCTGTAATTCACACCACCAGAGGAACTAGGGACACATTAACACCTGGCACTACACAACCAATTAATGTGTTCTTCCTTGGGAAGACCACCCTCTCCCTCTCCCAGCTTTCTTGATTGCCTATGGTTCTTTGTGTAGGATGCACACTTTTCTCCAGCCACTTTGGAATGTTCAAAGGTGTCCTTGTTCAGCTCACATTTGAGCAGTCATGTTGGTAAGAATATGGGTGTAACCTCTGATATTACTAGGTGATACAATCTCATAGCAAACTCCCTGCTCCATGTGTAATACTGTTAAGCCTTTATAGGATAGAGTATTTAACACCTTAAAAATTTGCCACATCTTCAAATATCTGCAATCATTATTTCATATCTTAGAATACCTTGCAAAATGAATAATAACAAGGAAACTAAATAAAAGGAGCTCTTCTTTAAGGCACAGAGCTATATTTTAATAACTCAAGGAAAGACTCAAGTATCTCTCTTTATAAATCAAAAGGACATTCAGGTAGGCAAATAATACTTAAAATAGTTGATGTAAGAATTCATAACACTAGTATCAAGGAAAAAACAGACAATGCTGATTTGTTTTGGTTATATATTCAATACTTTATCACAGAACTAAATTGGGAAATTCAAACAAGCAAATAAACCAAAAGAAGAAAATACCGTGTTCTTTCACTATGTTGATGCATTTTTTAAAAATTTATTATTTTTATATATATGATGCATTACTTCTGTGCCCCATGTATGTGCAGTGTCCAAAGAAGCCAGAAGACCTCCAGGAACTGGAATTACAGTCAGAAGCTGCATTGTTGATACTGCTGACTGAACTCTGGTCCTGTGAAAGACCAGCCAGTGCTCTCAACAACCAAGCCATCTCTCCAGGATCTATTTATGTATTGGTAAAGAGGGGAGAAACCTATAAAACTATAGTTTTCAGAACTAAGTAAGATTTTATATGGTCTAAGAGATAAATTCTAAAGTACTTTTATTTTATTTTTTAATAAAATATTACTACATCATTACCTCCACCCTTCCCATGTCCCTCCCACCCATCATAAATTTATGGGTTCTTTCCCTCTAATTATACATATATGTATATACATGCATGTGTGAATAAATATAAATGCAACCCACTGAATCCATTAGTGTTACTCATTTGCTTATGATTTTAGAACTGACTAGTTGGTATTGGATAACCATGTAGGAGGCTAATAACTGGGGAAGACTAATTATCCATCTCTCAGCGGTCAATAATTCCTTGTTGCTTTCCATCTAGTCACCTAGCCCCATGAGATTTCCCCATCCACACCTAAGTGGTAACTGCTGTTGTCATTGTTCAGGTCTTGTTTAGCTAGCCATATTGTTGAGATTTTATGGATGGAGCTACTTATCATATCTAAAAATTACTATCTCCCTGCAGGTGTTCAGATACTCTGGCTCATAAATCTTTCTGCCCCATCTTCTGTAATGGTCTGTGAGCCTTAGGTAGAAGGTTTTGAGGTAGATACATCACTTTGGACTGGACATCACAAGGCCAGTTTTCTGAACAGTTGCTCTCTATATTTTGCCAAGTTTTGATTTTCTGAAGTGGTCTCCATCTATTACAAAAGTAAGTTCCTTTGATGAGGGGTCAGAGCTCTGGGTACAAGGACAAGTATTTAGAATGAAGTTAGTACTATACTGACTGGTTTGGGAAAGTGACAGTAGCAGCTTCTCCTTTAAGATCCATGACCCTACTGGGCACAAAATAATTATATCATTTTTCTTTACAGCAGAGTAGTGTTTCATAGTGTATGTGTGCTGCATTTTCATTACTCAGTCATCAGTTGAAGAACATTTAGGCTGTTTATGTTTCCTATCTGTTATGAATAGAATGGCAATGAACACACTGAGCAAGTGTCTGTGAAGTAGGATATCACCTTTCCATTGCTGTGATAAAACTTACTTAGGCAACTTATAGATAAAAGAGTTTGTTTCGATTTACAGCTCCAGGGGGTTAAAGTCCATAATGGTGGGACACATGGAAAGGCAGTAGGTGTGCTCTCCAAAACAGAAAGATGAAAGCTCACATTTTGCACTACAAGTACAAGCAAAGAAAGAAAATTCAAAGTAAAGGCAAGATGTTTTGTTTTTTACATTCTAATCTCAGTCCCCCCCTCCCTCTTCTCCTCTTGATCATCACTCCTCTCCTCTCAGCCTCTTATGCACTCCTCAGAGAGAGTGAGGATTCCCCTAGAATGTCAACTAAGTCTGTCTCATCACCTCATTGAGACAGGACCAAGGCA